ATTTTGGCAATTATTCCTGGTTCTCTGTTGGATTAATTACCCTACACTATTATTTAATTTATGCATTGGCGGTGGTCTGATTTATTCTACAAGTATAGGCATCACACCTGAAATTAATCATGTTTACCACAGAGACAAATGCAATAAAATAAAAATGTACCTTTCACGGTGAGAATGAGATGCAGAGTATCCATTCCACCAGAATGTGAACACTCACAGGTGTAGTTCCCACTATCCTCTGGTGTTAAACTGGTCAGATGGAGGAACACAGTCTGATTATTAGTCCTAAGTGTGAATCTGGAGTCACATTCGTGCACAAAGTCTTGTCCATATTGATACAGCAGACGACACCCCTCTCCCCCGCTCGTCTCTGTTCTGATCTTACATACTATAAGTGTGATGATGTGCAGTGTGGCAGCGGCGCATATCGGAGTAACATCTGGTCCACTCCCGATGGTTTTCACAATAGCCTCTGGAAGTATAGAAAATGAGTGACTGAGGCCAGAACGAGCAAGATGAGTTAATAGCAGGAGACTCTAAGAAAGCTAACAAAATAAGCAACTTGTTATTCTACCAAACTGCATACATTATACATACTGAAACTCTCCGCTATAGTACCTTCAGTGTTAATACACAAACACAGGGGGAGAAGAAGGACAAACCAAAGCTTCCATTTATCCATAATGGTAGATAAGTAAACAAAAGTGCTGCTGTCGGAGAACAGTAAACTACACTAAATGAGGAGGGTAAACATTAGACGAGTAGAAGCTGATAATGACGTGTTAAAAAGGAACTGCAAGACATGACTGCTTCTACTTTCCAGTTTAGATAATGTTTGTCCCCCCCCCCAACAAAATCGGATGTGAAATCTGAGCACTTCGACTTTCAAGAACTTTGAGAATGTCCCATGACTTAAAGTTTGTCATGTTTGGAAGAAAGACTGGTTAAAATGACCTTCGCTTCATCATTTTAGACTGGGGGATCTTCTCCCAGAACTGGGTTTGGTTGCCATCAGCGGTACTGGGCTCCATTTCAGCAGCCATGATCAGGAAACATCCAGAGGCCCCTGGAGAGCCATTAACAGCACTCAGTGTCATGTTTTCATACCAATCAGAGCAACAAAGAGAGGTCAACCTGAACTTTCTTGAATTTAAAAAGGAATGTGTAGGATTTAAGTTGCAGATTGCAACNNNGGCTACTGTAGAAACATAGCGGAACCTGTGAAAGACGTTATAAAAATGGTTAATTCTTGATTATAAACTGATTAAAAGTCCACCCATGACCCCGACCATACCATTAAGTCAAAATATTAGCAAAACTATAGCATTTTAAAAAGGTTTTACATTAGGAAACCTTGTTCGACTCTCGGTGGTTGGGTAATGTCAGTAGAGGGAATAAACACCTTATACCAAAGAATTGCCACCAGGCCACATTAACAAGGACAAGAAAACATATTTTCTCTGCCCACGCTTTGTTCCTCAGCTGGACAAGAAACAGACAAACTGAAACTGCAACAGAGACAGGCAGACAGCTTTAAATAGATGCAGGTCTATAGGATACAGAACCAGGTAAAACAAGTGTGTCACGGCTGTAAATTAGAGCGACCCCCCCACCCTCCCTCATAACCCCATGTGTAACACATGAAA